CGAAAGCACGACTTAGAATATATACTAGATTAATATACAGCATTGTTCTAATATAGGTAATTTGAGATTACCTATATTATATTACCTATATTAATATACAGATTGATTTGAGATTACCTATATTAATATACAGCATTGTTCTAATATAGGTAATTTGAGACAAAATCAGACTTTTTCTGAAATGGCTTGCCGATTTTATTCCATATTTTGATTCTATGACTGAAATTATGGCTAAATATTAAATTTTATAAAATTTGGTTCAAAATTTATGGAGAAATTCAAAAATTCGTTTTGCCACTTTTTTTTTTTTTTTTTTTTTTTAAATTATGCGGCAAGAATATGCGGCACTTGGCAAACTTCTTAATATGTGGCTACCTGTTTTGCCATCAATTTTTACATTGGCCATGAGGGGATGGGAGAAGTCCCATCGTTCGTACTTTCAAATAACTTAAACAAAGTGCCTAAACCATGTTTGATGTTTTTTCACTTTCAACAAATATACACTCAAAAGTCGTTAATCCGGACTCGTCGGGACTTCAACGATTCCGGATTATAGATCATCAGTTTAAATATAGTAAGATGGCATGCACAAATTACAAAATAAAAAATATGAAACCGTAATTTATGAAATAAAGAACAATTATGATCTAAAAGTTATCAAAATTTACCAAAAAGAAAAAGCTTAATATTTATTTGTTTACTTTACTAAACATTTCTTTCAATGTACGTTGTTTAAGTTGCTTCATTTCATGTGACAATACTTTCTCTTTAATTCTATTAAACAGACATAATTTCTTGTTTAGTTACAAAGTTCCGCTGTTCAAGTCCTATAATTGCTGTGACGAGAATACCGACTAATTTGTCAATCGAAATGTTTTCGTTTCCAATAACCTCTCTGTCACTTTCTTCACTATCGGAAGCGAATTATAATGACGAGGAACTTGATTTAAATCATATCAAAGATGGAGTATATCGAGATGAAATACTACATTTATTAAGGAATTATGAGCCAAATAAAATAAAAACATCTGCCCTGAAGATAAGGATAGTGCTGACAGATCAACTTCGAATTCATTACGCGCCACGGCGTTTCTCCCCCCCCCTGCCGCAGAGCAGCGTGAAATTGATAAACAGATTTCGGATTTCAAAATATACTTTCGCGTTGTAGATCCTTTACATATTAGTAAATATATATCGAAATTCTATTTGACATAATCGAAAGTTCAAGCTTACTTTTATAAATTTGCTCTAACAGTCTGCAAAAAATAATAAGCCGGATCCAATTCGAAAATTTAGGAACAACGCAATCATCAACATTAACTGAAATCGATAATTTTAGCTTAGCTTATACCATCCGTTATACATTAAACGCGCATTCGTAAACGTATTATGCGCTTGTGCACACGCATATTCGCAGCCGTAAAGGTCTTACGCGTAAGCGTAAACGCCTATGAGCGTGCGTCGCGCTGACGCATGCGCAGAAAGTTTGTAGCTTCGAGGTCCGGATTATAGATCATTCCGGATTATGGGTGTCCGAATTAACGACTTTTGACTGTACTATATTTCAAAATGTGCCAATATATAAATTCATGTATATCTTTGAAAATTTTGGATAAAAAAAAAAACTCAAATTTTTTGCTGATATTCTTAGAAATACATCTATACTTTAGATGATGGTAAAAATTTTATAGATTATAATTAAAAATGTTTTTCGAAAAATTTATAAAAATTATTTAAAAAATAAATCATAAAAATAATGAACGAGTTTTGTTTGGAATGAACCTATACTTTCGAAAACTGTAAAGGAAGAATCAATAAGTTTAATAAAAACAGAGAGATTAGATAAATATATACAAAACTCAATTAACATTAAGGAGCTAAAATTTTGTGAGCTAATTTTTTAAAAACTATGGTAACCAAACTACTTGTGCGATTTTTACAAAACTTGGCAGTTTAGCATAATAATAGAATAAAAATATGGAAAAAAGAGTCATTTCAGAAAAAGGTCCAATTTTGTGTCAAAATACCTGTATTAGAATAATGCTACATATAAATCTAATACAGTACAAAGTCCATGATCCGGACCTCAAAGGCCACAAACTTTTTTTTGTATGCTTTATGCATGCACATAAAGAATGCATGCGCCATACATTATGTGCCTCTACGCATGCGCGTGTTTAAAGAAATGTTTAATAAGTAAACAAATAAATATTAAGCTTTTTTTTTTTTTTTTTTTTTTTTTTTTTTTGTAAAATTTGATACCCTTTAGATGATAATTGCTCTTTATTTCATAAATTACGGTTTCATATTTTTACTTGTATAATTTCTGCATGCCATCTTACCAGATTTAAGTTGATGATCTATAATCCAGAAATACCCCTAATACGGAATCGCTGAAGTCGCGATGAGTCCGGATTACGGACTTTGTAGAGTGCATATCCTAAGTCACGGTTTCAAGACATGAAAAACGAAAGTTGAATTTCCTCAGTCAGCCCAGTAGTACAAGAACTATAGAACTATCTCTTTTTTTTTTTTTTTTTTTTTTTTTTTTTGCACAGTGTATATAACATCATTATTTCATGTGAATGATTTGTTACATATATCATATATATGAGGTGGATAAACATATTCACAAATAACAACCCATATCATATGTATAAGGTTTCTCTCCCGTGTGAAGTACATTTCAAATCCTTCTTTTATGTAAAGGATTTGTTACACATATCATATACACGAGGGTTTTCACCACCATGGACAAAGGATGTTTTAAATTATTCAACTTTTATGAACAATTTCGTATACATATCCAAAGTTACTTTTCAGTGTGGATAAGCAAATGGCATTTTAAATCATTCTTTCGTGTGAATGATTTGTTACATATATTAGGATTCTGTCCAGTGTGGATACGTGTATGCATAGTTAAGTGTTGCTTATGGGCAAATGATTTGCAACATATATCGCATACATGAGGTTTCTCTCCAGTGTGAATAAGCAAATGGCGTTTTAAATTATTCTTTCGTATGAATGATCTGTTACACATATCACACACATGAGGTTTTTCTCCAGTGTGGATCAACAAATGGCGTTTTAAATCACTCATTTGTACGAATGATTTATTGCATATATCACAGGCATGAGGCTTCTCTCCAGTATGGATATGTGTATGTAAAGTTAAATGTTGTTTAAGGGTGAATGACTTGCAACATATATCACATACATGAGGTTTTTCTCCAGTATGAATACGCAAATGGTGTTTCAAATCATTCTTTCTTACGAATGATTTGTGACATATATCACATAAAAAAGTTTTTTTACCACTGTGGTTAAACAAATGGAGTTTTAAATCATTTATTTGTGTGAATGATTTATTACATATATCACATACACAAGGTTCTTCTTCACCATGAATATGCATCTTGACATCTCGTTGCATTTTTGTGTAAATATAACAAACATACGATTTTTCTTCACTGTAGGTAAATAAATGGAGTTTTAAATCATTCTTTCATGTACATAATTTGTTACATATAATATCTCTCTTGTTTGGATAGCTATATGTTTCTGTGAAAAATTTTGCACATTTTTCAACTCAATGTGTCTTTTTAAGTCAAGATTTTCCACAATGATTATATGGCAAATTTCTTACGTAGATGTTTTCTTTTCAATACCGATACTCATAAGCATCTTGATGCAGCTCTTAAGGAGAAATTTTAAAAAAATCTATATACGTTCACATATGTACATCACATACCGGGTTTTCAGTTATACGTGTTGGTTTCCAAATTTTAGATTAATAACAAAACTTTTACCAGAAGTACCACAGCTTATTTACACCAGTTTTGCTACATTTAATACAGAATGTATACTTCATTGCTGAATGAGGAGAAACACACCAAAGTTACTGCTTTTAACAATTATGAAACATAATCTTACATCTACAAATAATAATACCACGGTATCACGGTATTACCACAAATCATAATAAAAAACATCTCATATCCGTCTTATGAAGTTTGCATTTGTATAAAGAATGATTACCTTTTAATATAAATTAATCTTGAAGATATATGCTGTTTGACGTGTTAGTGTTGAATATTTTTTTACTCACCGCTCTGACATCAAAAATTCATCCAGGTGTCTACGGAGAGAAAGCAACTTATAAAAAATTATGATACTTAAGTTTTTATATTCTCATCTCTATCCCTAAACTTTCTCGAGCCTGTGGCTCCCTCTATTGAGCATCAAGTAAATCACTTATGCCAAATTTTTCCAATTTCTGCTCACTTTTAGTAATTCTGATGTGGAGGTAAATGGTTTTGAACCATAGGCACTCCGAAATTTGCAAATCATTGGCATTGGCTTTTGGGATTGTGATCCGATCCTCCCGTGCGCACTCAGTTAGCGCATATGCTGCCGTGCACTTTTATCTAGTGCGGGCGCTCGATTCACGCTAGTACAAACGACGACGCTGGTACTATGGTTTTTTAGACAGCGATCTGCATGTACATACAGGAGAAAAAAATGTGTGTATAAGGTATGTAAGTATTCATTTGGACAAAACAGCACCTTAAAAATGAATATTTATATACATGCAAGTAAAAAAACCTTATGTGCCTCAGATATGTACATATACTTATTCACACAGGAGAGAGACCTCATGTGTGTTAGGTATGTGTAGTGGCCTAGTTATTCATAAGAAATAATAATTTTTTATTTCATATATTTGTTAATTTGTTTAATTATTTTATAAAATGAATAATATTTTGTTAATTATTCATATTTATAATTTTTTATGTTGAATGGCAGCAAATAGTTCATATTTATATTTAAATTTCTTTAAGCTGAATGGCAACTAGTTTTGATTCATCATTGCTAGGTTTTGGTTTCAAAACGTTGCTCGTAGCGTCACATTTCGATAGCTGGAAAATAAAATGCAATAAACTTAGCTTGTTGTTTACAATTCATGCTATTCCTAATCATAAATTAGTTTTGAACATTAGTAGCCAAGGCCACATCGGTAACAAGTCATTTGCTCAAAAAAGACATTTAAACAAGCATATGCTCCTTCACACAAAAGAGAGACCTCATGTGTGTGAGGTATGTAGCAAGTCATTTACTAAAATGATGATGTAAACAGACATACTCATTCACACAGGAAAGAAACCTCGTGGGTGTGAGGTATGTAGCAAGTCATTTGCAGAAAAAACATGATTTAAAGAGACATATACTTATTCATACCGGAAGGAAACTTCATGTGTGTGATGTATGTAACAAGTCATTTACTCGGAAAACTCAATTAAACGAACATATAGTTATTCACACAGGAAATAAACCTTATGTGTTGTGAGAGGTATATAACAAGTCATTTACTGAAAAAGTTTATTTGAACAAGCATATGCTCCATCACACAGGAGAGAGACCTCATGTGTGTGAGGTATGCAACAGGTCATTTGCTCAAAAAAGTTATTTAAACAAGCATATGCTCCTTCACACAAAAGAGAGACTTCATATGTGTGAGGTATGTAACAAGTCATTTACTCAAAAAAGTTATTTAAAAAAGCATATGCTCATTCACACAGGAGAGAAATGTCATATGTGTGAGGTATGTAACAAGTCATTTACTGAAAAAGGTCATTTAAACAAGCATATGCTCTTTCACACAGGAGAGAGACCTCATGTTTGTCAGGTATGCGACAAGTCATTTGCTCAAAAAGATGATTTAAACAGACATATACTTATTCATACAGGAAAGAAACCTCATGTATGTGAGGTATGCAATAAAGCATTTACTCAAAAATGTCATTTAAACAAACATATGCTTCTTCACACAGGAGAGAAACCTCATGTGTGCGAGGTATGCAACAAGTCATTTGCTCGTAAAGAAGACTTAAACAAACATATACTTATTCATACAGGAAAGAAACCTCATGTGTGTGATGTATGCAATAAAGCATTTACTCAAAAAAGTAATTTAAACAAACATATGCTTCTTCACACAGGAAAGAAACCTCATGTGTGTGAGGTATGTAACAAGTCATATGCTCGGAAGGATGAATTAAACAGGCATACACTTATTCATACAGGAAAGAAACCTCATGTATGTGAGGAAGGAAAAAAATAATTTACTGAAAAAGGTCATTTAAACAAACATATGCTTCTTCACACAGGAGAGAAACCTTATGTGTGTGAGGTATGTAACAAGCCATTTGCTCAAAAAAGTATTTAAAGAACCATATGCTCTCACACAGGAGAGAGACTTTATGTTTGTGAGATATGCAACAAGTCATTTGTTCAAAAAGATGATTTAAACAGACATATACTTATTCACACAGGAAAGAAACCTCATGTGTGTGAGGTATGCAATAAAGCATTTACTCAAAACGGTCATTTAAACAAGCATGTGCTTTTTCACACAGGACAGAAACCTCATGTGTGTGAGATAGGCAAACACGAATGACTTAAACAGGCATACACTTATTCATACAGGAAAGAAACCTCATGTGTGTGAGATATGCAATAAATCATTTATTCAAAAAGGTCATTTAAACAGACATATGCTTCTTCACACAGGAGAGAAATCTCATGCGTGTGAGGTATGTAGCAAGTCATTTACTCGGAAAACACGATTAAACGAACATATACTTACTCATACGGGAAAGACACCTCATGTGTTTGAGGTATGTAACAAGCCATTTATTAAAAGAGTTCATTTAAACAAACATATGCTCCTTCACACAGGAAGGAAACCTCATGTGTGTGAGGTATGTAACAAGCCATTTGCTCAAAAACATCATTTAAAGAACCATATGTTCATTCACACAAGAGAGAGACCTCATGTGTGTGATGTATGTAACAGGTCATTTGGTCAAAGTTATTTAAAAAAGCATATGCTCATTCATACAGGAGAGAGACTTCATATGTGTGAGGTATGTAACAAGTCATTTACTCAAAAAAGTCATTTAAACAACCATATGCTTCTTCACACAGGAGAGAAACCTCATGTGTGCGAGATATGTGACAAGTCATTTACTCGGAAAGATTGTTTAAACAAACATATACTCATTCACACGGGAAAGAAACCTCATGTGTGATGTACATAACAAGTCATTTGCTCGAAAAACGTGTTTAAATGAACATATACTTATTCATACAGGAGAGACACCTCATGTGTGTGATTTTTGTAACAAGTCATTTACTCAAAAAGGTCATTTAAATAAGCATATGCACCTTCACACAGGAGCGAGACCTCATGTGTGTGAGGCATGTAACAAGTCATATGCTCAAAAAAGTTATTTAATCAAGCATATGCTCTTTCACACAGGAGAGAGATCTCATGTGTGCGAGGTATGTAACAAGTCATTTATTCAAAAAGGTCATTTAAACAACCATATGGTCTTTCACACTGGAGAGAAACCTCATGTTTGTGATGTTGTGAGTCATTTGCTGAAAAATCTAATTTAAAAAAGCATATATATATACTCACACCGGAGAGAAACTCCATAAGGTACATGTGTAACAAATCTCTTGGGTTATAGAAAAATTGAAAGTCTCATGTCGACACGTAAGAAGGTTAATGTTTTTTGTGGAAACGTTAGGTTAATAAGAACTTTGCTCATGTGTGCAGTAAAGACTTGTCCATGCTAGAAAGAAATGTCTTTCTAACGTGGTGTGTTCAACTTGCCATTTCATTTTAGTTTTTAATAAATCATTTATTTGTTTCCACAAGAGAAAAACCTGATGATTGCAAGATAATTCACAAGTCATTTTAAACTGCTGCTGATTTAATACAACATTTTCTTATACTTAGTAAATAATGAATAATGAAAATTTAAAGCAACATATTTGAACAGTGTTAGATAGTGAATTTACTGTTCTGAATAAGAAAATTTTATTGACGTCTTATTCATCTCATTCGGATACTGTCATGGATTGTTTGAAAGCTTGAAATGTTTAACATTTTCATTAGATTTTTCTAAAAAAGTATGAAATATGTTCTTTTGTGGTATCTTAAGTGCTGTAAAATTTAAGTATTTCTCTCATCGTCGAATTGGCTTTTTTAATGTTGAGAATGCATAGAATTTAGATTTTTGCAGACTTACGTGCTCAGTATCGAATGTTTAAAACATTAGTTTTAACTATATTCTTGATGCCACTATGTAGCTTGTATTGACTTTGAAAGACATCAAAATTTCGTGAGGAAGTAAGTTTTTTTTTTGTTTTGTTTGTTTGTTTGTTTGTTTGTGGTATTTATGTGTTAATGCAGCAGCTTTAATACAAGTTGCCATATTTTCAGTATATGTCAAACTCTAACAACATTGTGCATAACCATTCTTGAAGCAATCATGCTTATAATAATCCTTCAATCAAGCACTTTTGCCATTTTGCGTGATTTTTTTTTTTTTTTTTTTTTTTTTTTTTTTTTTTTTTAAATTCTGAAGCGTAAAAGCCTTTATAAACATATTGTGATATATTTTGCCTTAGTTTTAAAATTTGTCCATGCAGAATTTGTGAGCAATTTTTCCGTAGTTCTGTGATAAAATTTCTGCAAGAACACAGAATTTTGATGAACATTTTGGGGTAAAAGTATATTTTAAGGTACCCCTAGGCGAAACGTGGCGATTTTTGGTGGTACATAGATACCGAATTTGTGCAAGTCTTTGACTTCTTATGTTGGCTTGCGTAGCGGCGATTTTTGTGCAAAAATCACCACTACACGAAGCCAAAATAACAAGAGCTGCATAAACTTGGTGCCCATGTACATATCGACTATTTTCACTTAAACAAACATCCCAGAATTGCACGAAAATGGCATTGAGCTCTCCTTGCACTTTATACATGTACACATCGACCTATTTTCATTAAAAGAAACATCAGGGAATTCACAAACTAGGCTTTGCACACAGTTTGTCCATGTACACATCAATATATTTTCACTTAAAAAGTCAAAGGAGCACCTAATTCTACAGTAGAGGCAATTAAAAAATACATAATATCAACAAACTACATTTTAAACCAAACAATAAAATAACATAAAAAAGGATTATGCATTTAAGCATTACACAAAGCAAATACCGACTTACCTCTGTGGCACACAAAATTCCTTAACATCATCCAAAAACTTCCTAAAATTATCTGAACTAGAATCTGTATATTGGCATCGTCACATAAATTCGCAAAACTAAGAGTCAGAAACATCCTACGTATTCCAGACTATCCCAAAAATGCCTACTAAGTAAACCTTCATTTACACACCAGTCAATTAATGCACTTTTTCCCTATCGTTCCAAATCGTACAGAAACTTAATCTTCCTACATTCAGCCATTCTACCGTCTAAACAATGAAACAAGCAATGTATTTCCTAATCACACACACCACAAAAGCTCTTACAAAACATCTCATGATTCAAAATATCTCAAAATAATGCAAACAATTATGTCATAATAAAGTTTCCATAATATTCAACTTCATAATATTCAGGTTACCATAAGTGAAACAAGAAGTTGGCTGTAAACAGAACAACAGCATGGCAATAAAGGAAACAACAACTTTGCGATAATACCAGAGGTACCCTGAAGTCAACTCCAACCCATTTTGTAAATGAAACAATGAGGAAATGCTTTTTGTCATTAGCCAAGTGCTGCATAAACCCAACTGTCCCATTTTTTGAGGCAGAAACAGATAGCTGTGTATCTAAGGAGGAGAAAACTACAAAATAATAACAAAGATTTGAAAAAGAATGTGTTTTTTTTAACTCGTCACATAATCCTTATTTTGTAATTCAAATTTCTATGCTCAAGTATATTTTCTTTTGATACATTGATAATTTTTACCAAATTATACTAAATAATGTTGACAGTTTGGGAATTTTTCTGAGATAAAGGCGTGAAAACTACCAACTTGCACCCAATAAGTAACTTTTAACTTTTGGTCTGTAAAAAGTCAGAAAATTATGCTAAGGTTATCGCTTTCATATATATATAGTTTTCTTCTTGCTCGTGTGACCGTGCAATTGTTTCAGGTACGTTTATACTTAAATGTCTGCTCATGTGTCCGTGCAATTGTTTCATGTACATTTATACTTAAATGTCTCTGCTTATTTTCTATTATTAAGTATTCAGCTTTGACATCTGGTTACTGTGAAATATGCTGACTTTCATGTTACCACCTTCAAATTTTTCTTGTTCTGAAATTCTGAAGAATTGTTAAATATTTCATTACCATGTGCAGGCTGTAGCTTGCAAGTGCATTTTATTATGGCTCTTTTTATGTTAACACAAAATTTAAATATAGTTCTGTGCAGGGCTACCTAGTGGGGGGAGGGGTGGAGCACGTAAAAGTATATGGGTGGCAAAAATCAGGGGCAGCCGGAGTCTGACAGTAACACGACTAAACATTTTCAAGTCATTGTAAGTATTTTTAACTTAAGAGATATTCTGTATAAAAACTGTATTCAACTGATGTTCACAAACATAACTCTTCTAACAGAAATAAGAATTCTAATCTGGCAAAATTATTTTCTTGGTGTTACTTTGGTAGATGGTTGCATGGATTTTTGGCCATTTACATTGGTGCGATTTTTACAGTCGACAGCCATCTTGAAAAACGCTGTGTTTACATATTTTACACTTAGTAAAGTATTCAAAACTTTAAAAAAAATCATAAAAATAAATATCATAAAAAATAATGGATTAATTTTTTGTTGAAAACATTGTTTTTTAAGATGGCTAGCAAATGTAAATAAATATATGTACTAAGAGTATAAAATACTAAAGTAAAGTTAAATTATTACTTTCTTTCAGCAATTAAATAGAATAAAAACACCGCTATAAAAACATTGCGCCAGCGTTTAATTGGATTAAAATATTACTTAAATCGAATATCAAATTAAAAACATCATATCGATGTTTAAAAGAATTTAAATCTTACTTAAATTCAAATACAGTCAAAAGTCGTTAATTCGGACACCCATAATCCGGAATGATCTATAATCTGGACCTCAAAGCTTCAAACTTTCTGCGCATGCGTCGGCTTTACGCATGCACGTAAGGCCTTTACGGCTGAGAATATGCTTGTGCGCGTGTGCAAAATACGTTTACGAGTGTGCGTTTAATGTATAACGGACGGTGTAAGCTAAGCTAAAATTATTTAATTATCTATTTCAATAATGTTGCAGATTGCGTAGTTCCTTAATCCTCGAATTGGATCGGCTTATTATTTTTTGCAGACTGTTTAAAGCAAACTTATTAAAAGTAAGCTTGAACTTTCGATAATGTCAAATAGAATTCATAGATATATTATATGTAATGATCTACAAAGCAAAAGTATGTTCGAAGTTCATTAAACAAAAAGGGAATTGCTACAAAAAATGGATAAAGGCATATCCTTGTTATCAAACTTTAACGTTTGTTTATCTAAACTTTGTGTATTTTAACGCGTGTTGCCACGCAGTGAATGGAAGTTGATCTGTCAGCATATCCTATCTTCAGAGCAGATGTTTTTATTTTATAATTCCTTATTAAATGTAGTATTTCATCTCAATGTACTCCATCTTTGATATGATTTAAATCAAATCCTATCATTATAATTCGCTTCCGATAGCGAAGAAAGTGAGAGAGAGTTATTGAAAAAAAAAATTTCAATTGACAATTAGTCGGTATTCTCGACACAGGAATTATAGGACTTGAATAGCGGAACTTTGTAATGAACAAGAAATTATGTCTGTTAAAGATTAAAGAGAATATATTATCACATAAAAAACGAGCAACTTAAACTACTTACATTGAAAGAAATGTTTAATAAAGTAACAAATAAATATTAAGCTTTTTTTTTTTTTTTGTAAATTTTGATACCCTTTAGATCATAATTGTTCTTTATTTCATAAATTACGGTTTCATATTTTTAATTTTATAATTTCGCATGCCATCTTACCAGATTTAAACTGATGATCTAATCCGGAAAAATCGATAATCCGGATCGCCGAAGTCCCGACGATCCGGAATTTAAGACTTTGACTGTACTTTAATGTAAGTTTTTATAGGATATAATATTTAAAATTAACCATATGTGGCAATAATACTCAGCAATTTTTGAAAACAAAGTATAATTTTTTTAATAAAAATTGAAGTATACAATTATAAAGTAAAAGAAATATATGTACTTGCACTTTTTTTAAGTATTTTACCTGTCGTGTATTGATAAAGTACCAAGAAAAAAATTGAAATCATAATTTAGATATGAATGAAAAAATTATCGGTAAAAAAGGAGGAATGTCTAATACTATTTTTACCGTTACAGTGGTTATTTCTTCCACCGTGACCACAATACTGTATATGGTGTCCTCACAGCGCTTTTAATGATCTTCAACAATCTTATCTTTAACGTTTTAGTCATCTGTGATCCACATCTCTCGCACTTCATTGAAGAAGCAATTTGGAGGTTTCCTCCAAAAATTTAAAATAAATTTCTTCTGACCCTTGTAATAATTTGTAAATAAATCTTTGATTAGGAAAGCCAGGTTGGCCAAAATAAGGTCTCAAAGGGCAATTTTTTAATTCCGATACCAATAATCCTTGGTAATTACCAATAACAACATTCATCTTCGAAATGGACATATCCATTCGCTTTGAAATCTAAGGGATTCGAAGAGATGAATAATAAAATTTTTAAATGGCACGGTAGTGCACAAATATTCAGTAAACAAATCAGGGAGCTGATTACGTGATGCATAGAATTAAAATTATTTAAATAATCATTCATAATAAAATCATTTTAAAAAATGAAAAATTAAATTAAATTTTAGTATTTAACCGCCATAAGTGATGTTTAAAACATTAGATTAAATTTACAGATAATGAAACCAATTACTTTTAAAGCAAGGTGATGTCACTGATTACATCATCCACAACATAAATTATACAAAATATCATAAACAATAAAATTTTTATTCAAATAAAAATGCAAAATTTTTAATTTAGATATATATTGATTAAATTTGATTTTTAAAATTTAGAATTTATTATTATATTTTATTTATTATTTATTATTTATATTTGATTTTTAATATTTAGAAGTCATAAATAATATTTAAAACACAGGATTTATGCATAATAAAACATGTTATTTTTTAAATAGAATGACAACAAACTATCGGTTACCATAAATAACTTGTCCAGCAGTGGATTTACCATAAGTCGTATCGCTCGCCAAAATCCATGCAACTGTCTACCAAAGTAGCACCATTTTCTTAACAAAATATAATTTGGTCAGATTATTTTAATTTTATTTCATGGGATTGATTGAAATAACATTGCATCTGTTATACTCTGTTTGTTTTATTTAATAAATAATTGTTTAATTATTGATATAAATGTTTTTGTTGTTATATACAGTGTTAAAAGCTATAGAAATAAATGTATTTAATTTAAGGAGATATTGACACTAAAAGAATTTTAAAATTTGTATAGTGAAAGTTTGTAATTCCATGTTTTTAATACCGTTTCCATATTTGAAAAGATTATTTTGATTTAAATCGAGTATTAACTAATGTGCTTGTAAAAAGTATGGTATGGAACGAGTGTTGCGAGTGCCACTTGATACAAGTTCTTAAAAGTTAACTTTTCCCAAAATTGCATTAGATTTACTTATTAATTTATGTCCAATACTTAGTACATCAAGCATAAGTGTAAAAGAACAGATTTTTGTCAAAAACTCTCTAAAGGAAATAATGAAATGAGTTTGGTAGGTAGCCCGTGTTGTACTATGCTGACTCTATGATATCCTGATGTAAAACAGATTGGGGACAACAGCAGAAAATATTCCAGAAGGATTTGAAGACGAATGTAAATGTTTCATTCTCTTAATGTATCACGTCATCCTTATTTATTAATTAAAATTTGTAATTTCGTTTGCTGAAGTATATTCTTTTTTCATGTATTTTTCACAAACTTATGAGAAATATTGCTAGTTTGAAAATCTTTCAAAAAATCTATGAAAATTGCCACCTTCCAGCCAATGAGTGACGTTTTCAGCTATTTAAAAAAAAAAAAAAAAAAACTGCACCAAGATGGTTTTGTTAATATGCAAGTACCAAAATTTGCTTAAAAATCTTGTCTTTTGTATTTCATGACTAATCAGAGAGTTTAATAACCATACATCATTCACTGCAAATAATATATTTTGCTATGCAGTAAACTCTTCTGCAGAAATATCCTTGCCTTTTAATACTCAAAATAATGCATATAAGTGTGTCTAAAAACACATACAATGCAGATTTATTCATTTAGAAATATGTAGTAGAACACAGATGTAAACATGTTGTACAAATACAATATTTATATTTATGTTTGAACTTTTACAACAGTATTTAATATTATTTGGAAGATAAACCTAACCATGCAATTAGAAATAACTGATTGTAAATGTAATTGTATATTTCATTATTTTTATTAGTTCTTAACTGATAGAGAATGTAATACTGAACAGCTGAATTTATTAGGTAATGTCTACCAGATAAATTACCTTAGTGCAAATACATAAAATCGACACAGGTACAAAATACTTATATTGGAATGTGTTTTATATTTAAAGTAGCAAGCTAATCACAAAATTATAAATAGTTCGAGTATTAGTTATAAAATTTATTGGTCATACTGGTTATATTCACTAACTGGTTGTAACGAAATACCTATCAGTTATCAGTAAATATGTTTACATACAGAATTGTGAATGCATCTCTAAATATAAATGAATGTGTGAGAGATTGCAAATATTTAATTTGGCATTTAATTAAGTATTTTTATGTACATGATACATCATTTCTTTCTCTTTTTGTGCTTTAAAACATCCCAAGCATCTTAAGTCAAAATTTTCTGTCCTCCCTCTTTCTTTACAGCTGTAATAACATCTTGTTTAAGATTCTAGTCCCTGAACATACTTTTCTCATTTCCATTTATAGCTAGTAGTTAATGGATCAAAATGATTTGAATCGTCATCTCAAATAAAGAGGGGAAAATTATTTTAGTGAAGGTGGATTTCAAGCAAAAATTTTGATAAACTGTGACAATGCATTTCTAAGGTTATAGAATATGTTACATACCGGTACATCAAGTTCATACCAAATGCCAGTTATGGATGTTGGCATGTAACATGTTCAAAGTACCAGGTAAAAATAAAAGAGATACATATAAGTACTTAAGTTTGCATCTACTAAACATGTAGTACATATAAATTAAAGAATTTAAACCTAAATATAAATTATTTAGATATTACATCTAAATATAAACAAAGTTGACAAGATAAAGTTAATCACATTATTATATGTGATTTATTTCTGATTTCTAGCAGTTTCATTCATAAGCTGCTACAGAATTGTACTAAATAGAAGTGCTTACTGGCAATAAAAGCAATCTACACATATGGCTTAAATACATGTAAAGAAGACTAGAAGAGAAACACGCTAATGTGACAATCAAAAACCGTGAAAAACAACCTTATATTTAGCGTAGGTATAATGAAACACTCAATCGATTTCGAGGGCAGCTAAAGGTCCCTCCTCATCAGGAGAAAGAAATACATAGAAAGAAGAAAATAGGAATCACAGAAACACGTGTTTCATTATACCTACGCTAAATATAAGGTTGTTTTTCACGGTTTTGACATGTAAAGAAGTTATATGCGTGCATTCATACCATTATATTATTATTTGC